TGCACATATTGCATAGATACATACATACATACATACATACATACATACATACATACATACGTACATACATACATACATACTTACTTACATACTTACATACTTACATACATACATACATACATACATACTTATATACATACATACCTACATACATACATACATACATACATACATACATCCATGCATGCATACATACGTACATACATACATACATACATACATACATACGCATATTGTCACATACGTGCATGCCTGCGTGTCTACTTACGCACGCATGTCTGCATATGACTATCCGGGAGAGCTCAGGGATGGATTTGCTTTCCTTTCCGGCTGGGAGCAACGATTTGGTGAGGTTCGAGCCCAAATGGGAAGGTTGTAGGCTAGCTTTCCTTCTAAGGTCTCTGCCTTCATGGTGTTTACGAAGTTCAGGGGGTACAGAGGTTTCTGGTTTGGATCTCTACACGGGCTTTCAGATTACCCGGGTCCTTCAACACCAATCCTTACGAGGTGGACCCCTGCACCCTAAATGTCGGACTGGAGGTGGGGCCTTTGCCAGCTGGCCATTGAGGAGATGGGGTCACCACCTATGCTGCCACCCCGGGATGATGGCAAGGCGCAAGAAGGAGTTCGGGGCTTGGCTTCAGGCTCTTGCTTAGCTTTGAGCCTTCAATTGGCAGCCAGGCAAGTTCGCATGGTTTCCACGCAGTCCCGTCGACACTGCGCTTGTCGTAGGATGCCTTGTTCCTGGTTGATGTCAGCATAAGCGTGGTGCGCTCCCCTCGAGGGCAAGGGAAAGGGCAAAACCAAAGATGCGAGACGAGAGCCTGGCAGGACTCTCGGCTATTTTGGCCCCAGCCGTCAGACTTTCCCCTTGTGGGCATGTCAAGTTTGTCCCCAGCCTGCCTACCAAGGAATCTCCAGATGGGCCAGCGGCGTTTCAGCAGCCGCCCACATGGAAACGGTTAAGACTGAGCACAAACAAAATGTGCACTTAGCTTGGCGCACCTTGAACGAGCAGGCTGCTCGGCATGTTGTGATGCAGCCTGCAGCCTGCAAGTTTCGAAAATGAATTTCGTTTAAGGGTCATGAGTGCCAGGATTCCCTGTGCTTGACCTTAAGGGTGTCAGGAGACTGATGTTCCAACTCTTCGGCAGCTGCAGTCCGCAGCCTGAGCCTTGCAGGAGTTCCTCTCGCCTCTTTTGCCATCACCTCTTTGTACAGCCTCGACAGACGCTTGAGCAATGTTTAGCCATCAAAACTTTCACCGGCACAACCACCATCATCGTTGCCACTGTCGTCTTCGTCCTGTTTGTGGGTTTGTCGCAATCATTATCCTAATCGTCGTGTTTCTGGTCATTAGTATCCCTCAGATCATCCTCCTTAACCCCGTGTTCAGGGCTATGTCCAGGCACATTCGAACACGCAAGCTTAATCATGCAATTTTCGCCTAGCTCTGGGGTTCTAAGGCCGGACGCTCCGAAAGAGAGAGATCTTTAAACACAATCCAGATGATGCTCGTCATGTTCGCTACGCGGGCCCCCTCCGAGCGTCCAATCACTCGGTAGACCTGGTTTCTGCAGCCGGACGCTCGGAGAGAGAGCTTTGAACACAATCCAGCTGATGCTCATGATGCTCGCCACGCGGGCTCCCTAAATCCGTCCAATCACCCGATCGAGCTGCTGCGCCTGCTGGGGTTCTATGGCCGCACGCTCGGAGACAGGGAGCTTTATAGTATAGTATAGAGACAATCCAGTTGATGCTCATGATGCTCGTCCCGGGGACTGCCTAAATCCGTCTAATCATTCGGTCGAACTGCTACGCCTGGTTGGGTTCGATTGCCAAACGATCGGAGAGAGAGTTTTAACCACAGTGCAGCTGATGCTCATGATGCACGCCTCACCACCGCCACCACCACCCGCTACGACGCCAGTACCAGTACCAGGACTGTCAACTGCCTACCGCCACCACCACTCCCGCCGCCACCATCACCAACACCAATACCAGCAACAGTACTTGCGAAACCAGCAGAACAACCGCATCAGCAAGAGCCACCACCTTCTCATGCCGACCCGCTAAATCACATTCATCACTTGAACACTCTTGACAGGTTCGTCGCTGTTGTAGCGATGACGACTATATGGCTGCTAGAAGATATCAACAACACAACCTACACTCACAACCAAGCCAATATCAATCTCGCGAGCAACCCCAAGAATGGATCATAAACATGCCTTCACTGTAATACACCATTGTATACTGGAATATACTGTGAGATACTATCGTGCACTATAATATATGACCGGGTACTATAGCACATCTACTCTAGACAGTAATGAGTATAAGATGTTCGTAGAGGGCAGGGGGACCCACAGATGTTTGGTAGGCTTTGCCTCGCCAGCCCTCCGCTGTCTGCCTGGCGTGAGATGGCAAAAGGTACCGACATGTTCAAGCCGTCAAACCGAACTAGTAGTATGCTAGTATATCCCAAAATCAACATGACATAGATTATTATAAGGCAAGATGAACATTATAGTCGTACTAAATTTTGAAGATTAACAGCACTCAAACCAGAGTTGCAACTACACCGCCAGTATGTTCCAACACAGGAGCAGGCCTGCAAGTTGAAGGTGCCCTCGAGTTCCTTTAGAGTTGGGACCACTGGGGAGCGAGCCCAAAAGAAGCGCCAGGCTGTTTAGGGCTGCATACTTGAGGTTGATTTAGCCCATGTTGAATTCCGGACTCTTCGTTGGTGAGCCAAAACAAGCAACCGGTGCTGCGCTGGAGCGTCCCACAGTTTGAAGAAGTTCACAGGCCACTTCGCAACTTGTCGCACCATGCTCATCCATCTGTCTGGAGTCTTGCAACGCCGATTTGGACTATGGATCCTGAGCATTTGTAGTCATTTGTATCCTGTTGCACTTTCTCAGGGCCCAAAACAGCGTCCAGAACCAGAGGCTGGAAAATCGCAGCTCAGCTCCTGCAAGGAAGCGAGGAGGAGGAAGAGAAGCCTTGGGGAGTGCAGGGTGTTCGCAAGGGCCCTTTGGAGGATGACCAAGAAATCCTAAACTCCGAGACCCTGAGAGTTTCGGGTGTAGAGTCCCTCAGACCTCGGCGCGAATTCCAGCTGATCTTCGGCTTAGCTCCGCACTCGAACCCAAGAACGAGCTGGTTCGTTGAATCGAGGTTCCCATGTCACGAACAGGCTACTGCAGCCAGGACATGCAGAGGCTCCGAAATGAAAATCAACCCCGATGCGTGCCAAGCCCAACGGGAGCTTCCGGAAAAGTACAGGACCCTGGTATAGGCTTTCAATACTTAGTAGACTTAGTAGGATCCTTATGAATGTAAGGACCCCGAGATCAGTTTAGGGACCCCTCGTTTTAGGAAGCCCCCACATCTCTAGCTACATCCCAATGCAGGACTTGCTGGATCTTGTTCAGTGCAACGCAGTCATCGCCGCAATCGCAACGAGCGATCTGCCACATCCATGGGTGTGGCTCTTACACAATTGATTTTGGGTTTGGGCTTACCCTGCGGCTTTGAGGTTTCGGTGTTTCTTGCATGCACACGTGTAGGAGGGGATGAGTGGATGGCGATCCGTTTGCAATCTTTTGCATCCTCTCCCCTCCGGTTGGCACTCCGTTCACTCCATCTAACAAAACGGATCCAATAGTTATACGCCACAAGAAGGCATCCTACCAACCTCATATTTCGTGGCTTAAGACTGAAGACATGCCATTTTTCCAGGACCCGCCCCAGAGGCGATTTGCCAACTCCACAGATCGAAGCGGGCACAGGCGTTTCATCGTAATCGCGTCGGGGCGGCCCCCAAAAGAGGCAAACGCGTATCGCAAGATCTCAGGTCACTGCCTTGCGGCTCTTGGATCTTGAGAGGGGCCTGGGCCTTCAGGCACAAGAGTCTGCAGGAGACCCGCAAGTTTCAGGAGTCTCTCACTCTTCGGTTTTTTAGGGGTTTACATGGCCTCTTTTGTAGCAGTTCCTGCAGGGACTACTACTCAGAGTTACTACTCTTTATCAGCTCATCTTTATTCTAGCTCTAAGAAACATGTAAGTTAAGACAGCTGCCGAGGAGCCACGCCGACTCTGTTTGTTCCGTGCGGCGGAAAGTTCATTGTGCCCTTATATTACTACCAACATGTAATGTCGCAAACCCGATTTGCTCAAAGTTTGGTCGGCCAGTCTCTCTTGTTGACGACTCCTTCCTTGTAGTTCAGGTTTTGCTGGGTTTTATCTTGATCGCCCTTGCCAACCTCGTGAACATAGTGCGGTACGTTTCTTCGCCGGAGTTGCAGGCGACTAATTCCCACCGCTTAGCCGCCAAACACCAACTCGTGGACGTGGAGCGAGCAGATTTGGTTCTGGCAGGTGGATGCCGTGGCTTTGAACTCGGTGATCAGCAGCGCGGGCTCGTCGTTCAACAGTCACTGAAGTGCATAGCATCGGTGACTGGAAGCAGCAGACCTGTAGCGAACCAAAACCCTGATGATGGTAACGGTAGCAGCACAGCGAAAAATGCTACACGCGAAGCTCACGTGCATGTGGCCATAATGAAACCATGCACAACGTTTTAAATGCCTGGGGTAGCTTCGAGACGCCGCACGCAATCGTAGTCGCATCAGCATCCGCAAGTAAAGGCGGAAGCAATACAGTAGCAACATCAATCACGGCCTTTGATTGAGCAAAAACTCGATGCTGGTATTTGCCAAGGAGCTTTTGTTAGCAGCCTTTCTGAGTGCCAGGCTCCTGTGGGGAGACGGAGGGCATCGTAGCCTGGCAGTGCCACGCCAAGTCTGAAACCTTGCAGCCGTGCTCACGGAATTTGCTCATTTAATTCGGTCGTGATGCCGGGAGGATGCATTCGACTACCTAGCTACACTAGATCTGACTCTATGGGAGTGCCCCAGTCTACATGTACCGTCGATGGTTCAAATCAACGCAGCACCGGCCAAACAAGGACATTGATCTGCCCCCTCCGAGCTGTGACAAGCTGGCAAGCATCGAGTCCGATACAGACGTCGTGGAATAGAGTGAGTTTCCAGAGGCCTCGCAGTACAAAGTGGCTGCAGCCGCTACGATCGCTTGCGCTGCAACGGCAAACATCAAGCATTATGACATGTCGATGTTGAGGTTGAAGCAGCAACGTCGTTATTGGTTTATGTGAGAGGAGATCTGATGCAATGCTGTTCGCCACTGCATCATACCCAAAAAAGACTTCCAGATGCACAATCGAATTTGTTGTTTGCAATCTCCAGGGTCATATACAAGGCTCATGTGTTCAACGTGTGGCTGCTGTTTTGAGTGTAGCGCCGTCCTGCAGTTCAGGCCGGAGCTTGGGATGTTGCTGGTAGAGATAGATATCCAACCCTAGGCCCTAGGCCCTAGGGGCGCATTGATAGTTTCGGCCTCTGTTTTCGTTGGTATGGTCGGTCCTCATGTCGCCCAAGGGTCTGGGCCATTGGGCGCCACGGAAACCCAAGCCCGAAACCCCCGTGTTGCAGTCGGAAAAGGATGATGTTTAGAATTACTTACCAAGCACTCCAGACTACTTATGTTCTTTTTACAACCGTTGTGGCCTCCGATGAGGCGCGCCTTGGTTCTCTGCGACTTGTCCTCGCCGTTGCGCCGCAGCCCGAGTGCAGGTGGAGTAGGTCGCTTCGGCAGTTACTTCGGAAGCCCCTGGCGTCAGCATGGTAAACTCCATTTCGAAGTTTCTTGAAACGCTCAGTCGCTTCTCTCAAGCACTCAGTGGGACCACTGCCGTCACTCCCACTCGACTTGTCCTAGGCGTTGCTTTGCACATCTGATTCAGTTGTTTGCTACAAGTCCATAAGATGGCTTCGTTTTAGGGCTTAGTTCCCACTGAGCATCTGGATCGTGTAAGGCGTGCAGCTAGACATCATCGGCCACCCTGGCAAGATTATGACCATCTTGAGGCGGAGAGAGGG